TTGAGACAGAGTCTTGCTCTGTCACCCAGGCTGGAGTGCAATGGCATGATCTCAGCTCACTGCAACCTCTGCCTCCTGGTTCAAGTGATTCTTCCATCTCAGCCTCCCAAGTAGCTGGGATTACAGGCACCCACTATCATGCCTGGCAAATTTTTGTATTTTGGTACAGATGGGGTTTCACCATGTTGGCCAGGCTAGTCTTGAACTCCTGATCTCAGATGATCTGCTCACCTTGGCATCCCAAAGTGCTGGGATTACAGACGTGAGCCACCGCACCAGGCCTAGAGGTCTGTCTTCTTGGGGCCCAGCCAATGCAGCACTGACCTGGGCACCATTCTCCCCTCTGCCACGGGATCATTATAGACTAACTGCATTGGCACATTTAAAGTGTCGGCACAGGCCTGGTGCAGTGGTTCACCTCTGTGATTCCAGCACTTTGGGAGGCCAAAACGGGCAGATTGCTTGAGTCCAGGAACTGGAAACGTTAAATGTGTGCTCTGAATGAAGAGACCCCCCCAAACAGGCTTTGTGTGAGCACCATGGCTATTTATTCACCCAGGTGTGGGCAGGCTGAACCCGAAAAGAGAGTCAGCAGAGGGTGGTGGGATGGGAGTTGGTTTTATAGGTTTGGGGTAGGCAGTGGGAAGTTACAGAAGTTACATTTCAGGGGGGGTTTTGCAAGCTGGGAGAGGGTTGTAGGGTCTGGAGTCATGAGGTTGACTAAGGTCGGTTACAAAGTCCAATTGCCATATCAGTTAAGGCAGGAAGAAGGAACAATAGAAGAATGTCTCAAAGTTAATTAGGCACCACAGGGGTTGGTCATTCTCCTTTTTGTGGTTTTCCAGTTACTTCAGATGTTTTAATTCTAGGAACTCATTTGGAGTGTACATGCAGGTCACAGAGGTTGCTTATTACATTGTACGTGGCACAGTCCGTCGGCCTAAAAGACATTACAGAGACTAGCCTAGGCAACATGGGGAAATTCTCTCTCTACTAAAAATACAAAAAATTGTGGCCGGGCGCGGTGGCTCAAGCCTGTAATCCCAGCACTTTGGGAGGCCGAGGCGGGTGGATCACGAGGTCAAGAGATCGAGACCATCCTGGTCAACATGGTGAAACCCCG